AGGAAGCCCAGATAAGCTTCTTTTAATAGTTTAATTAACTAAGGGTACCCAATATCCAAGAGCTCTCTCTCAAGTGTATATGTGTGTGGGTGTTTGTGAAGTACAGCTTTTTATCAGAGATCTAGAGGAACTGAATCTTCGTGTGTTCCAGTACAGGCTGACCTCATCTGCACCTCCTAGAATAAATGTGCAGCCTAGATCTTAGGAATCCACCTAGTTTTCTGCTGCCTGAATATTCTGACACCGCCCCAAGCTCACAATGCATTGAAAAATAGTTTAAATGGTGTGTTTTCAGAGAAATTTTTTTTTAATAAAAACATGTATTCAAATATATGGTTAAATCCTGTTAAATCCATGTGAATTTTTATTTTTATTATTTTTATTTTTTAGAAATGCAAACTATTATGGAACCAGGACAGAACAGACTTGCAAGTAAACACATCTGAAAGTGACATTTGCCTATCCCTATAAATAGATGAGCTATATTTAGCCATTCATATTTATAGTATAGCTCATTTATGAATTTTCCACTCTCCAAGATACTGTTTTGTATAACCTTCCATCATAGTCGTGGTGGTTGATTTGGTTAGGAAACGGAACTGCTTGGGTTTGTGGTATCTGCTTGGGTTTGTGGTATCGCTTGAGTTTATTTTATTTTATTTTTTATTTTTTTAAATCTTTATTAAACATATTTCACAAAATTATACAACAATATACTATATTACACTTTGCATCCCATCCCATACAGCAAAAAAATTAAAAATACAAGAAATTTAAAAAAGACCTGAAATAGGCTTCCGATTGTTCTCAAAAAAACTAAATTACACTTGTTATATTTTACACAGTATCATATTATTATATTATTTTCTTAAGTCATTTGGGGGGGGGAGAAAAGAAAAAGAAAAAAGAGAATTAAATAGAAACATTAAATTTACATATATTATCTAAACATTGCAAGACTCATTCAAGATCTGCCAGGAGGTTTTTGCTGCCACAGTAATTTTTCAGATATTCCTTGAATATAATCCATTCTTGGTTTACTTTTTGCGTCGAATACCCTCTTACCCTCCCTGTCATTTTTGCCATTTGCAGATATTCTAACAGTTTAACTTGCCATTCTGATTTTGTAGGTGTAATTTCATTTTTCCAATATGTTGCAATTAAAATTCTGGCCGCGGGTGCCGCATACATAACAAAATTGAGTCAATTTTAAAGGATGAGAAGTGAGGAGGAGGAACACAAGCTTGCCTCTGCAAACTTTGGCCTGTTGCATTCACACATTGCACTTTAGGGTGGACAGGTACTCTCAGAAATTTGCCTGTTAAATTGTGGGTGAACATATCAGACGACACAGCGATTCTTCAAACAGCTCTTGTTTATTCACAGGCCAGAACAGAACTGAACTGAAGGGTTCAGACAGCCTGCTTATGTAGAGCTCCACTAGAACACAACAGTAACCATTTTCGGTAACTACCCAATCACTGAATGTCACTTTCAATGCCTTATTTGCATATGTGGACCTGAGTGAAAACTATCTACAGTATCCCCCTGCTGGCCCAGGGGGAGAACTTCAGTACATAACATTGCCCAGAATGAGGATGTGGCCCTTAGGCTGAAAGGGGTTTCCTGAGCCCCATTATCATTGCTTTAAGCACACCATAAACAAAGGTTTGCATGCACAGGGTGGGTGCCTGTATGTATATATAAAGGGCTTTTTTTCCCAGCCAGAACTCTCTGAAACTGAGTTCCGGCACCTCTCAGGTGAGCGCCATTGTCATTATAAGAGAACAAAAGAGGTGTTTGTGGTGAGTTCCAGCACCTCTTTTTCTAGAAAAATAGCACTGTATATACACACACAGGTATGTAGGAAACTGACACTCCCCAGGATCTGGTTAAATACAGTGGTACCTCGGGATGCAAACGGGATCCGTTCCGGAGCCCCATTCGCATCCAGAAGCAAACGTAACTAGCGACGGCACGTCTGCGCGCGCACGCGCCGCTTTTTGCCGCTTCTGCGCATGCGCGTGACGTCATTTTGAGCGTCTGCGCATGTGCGAGTGGTGAGACCCGGAAGTAACGCACTCCTTTACTTCCGGGTTGCCGCGGAGTGGAACTTGAACGCGCTCAACATAAAGCATATTCAACCCGAGGTATGACTGTAGTTATCTGACCATTCAGAAACAAGATTTAGAGTCTGGTGCCAAGAGTCTTCTCACATGTACCCATCAGTATAAATTTGCCATTCGTGTAAAATGGGAAAGATTGATATGGGAGAGAGAAGGAGAGTCGAGAAGGAGAAGGCTCTTAAGAGGCAGAGAGAGAGAGAGATAGCAAACCTCCATTCAGAAGGTACAATCTTTGACTGATTTAATGATCCTTTACTGATGCTGATGATGATTCTTAAAGGGCTGGAATAATTGCCAAATGGTCTCTCTTGTCAACTGTGAAAATTTAAGGGTGAGTCTGTTTGCATCCATTACTTAGAGGCCTTCCTCCTGACAGCTCCTCGACAATGTTCCCTGTTCAGCGCAACTGCAATGCCAGCGCTCAACTCGTTTCCAGGGTGCTATGATGCATTTCCATGTATTACAGTGGCAGAAACATGGCTGTTGCTGTTTGCATTAGGAAGACGCAGTCGGTAGCTGCTTTCTTTATTGCAGACCTTTCCTGGGTAAATTGCAGGAGAAAAACGGTTCCAGCATGGGAGGGGCAATGGCTGAGTTGGGGCCCACAGGAAAGGTAGAATCATAAAATTGTAGCGTTGGAAGGGGACCTGAGGGTCATCTAGTCCAACCCACTGCAATGCAGGAATCTCAACTAGAGCGTACATGGCAATTGGCCATTCAACCTGTACTTAAAAACTTCCAAAGAAGGAGAGTCTGTCACTTCTCATGGGAGTCTGTTCCAGAGTTGAACAGCTCTTACTGTTGGAAAGGTAGCTGTGAGATAAATTGGGACTAGGTAAAGGACCCCTGGACGGTTAAGTCCAGTCAAGGGTGACTATGGGGTTTTGGCACTCATCTCGCTTTCAGGCCAAGGGAGCCGGCGTTTGTCCACAGACAGCTTTCCAGGTCATGTGGCCAGCAGGACTAAACCGCTTCTGGTGCAACGGAACATTGTCTGTGATGGAAACCAGAGCACATGGAAATGCCATTTACGTTCCTGCTGCAGCGGTACCTATTTATCTACTTGCACTGGTGTGCTTTCAAACTGCTAGGTTGGCAGGAGCTGGGATACAGCAACGGGAGCTCACCCCGTTGTGGGGATTTGAACCGCCGACCTTCTGATCAGCAAGTCCTAGGCTCTGTGGTTTAACCCACAGCAGCTCCCCCCTGCATTAAACCAAGAAAAACTGTTGGTCTCAATACTGTCTACACTGATTGGCAGCAGTTCTCACAGGCTTCAGCCAAGGGTATCCCCATCGCAGATGAGGCTTCAGATGTGCTCGCAAACTTGTCCCAATTCTCAGCTTCTTGGCACCTTCTTGAACAGTAAGGTGTGAGGATCTTCACTGGGGATGAATGTAGTGAACTTGTTTTCTGTGGCTCAGCTTGCCAGAGGAATCCATCGATGGCTTTTAGGGCAGGAAGAAACTTACCTTTGGCTCTTGAAATTTTTACAACCAATCTGCACTTGCGGCATGTGGCAACAGCCCACAAAACAAGCATACCCCACTGTTTACATCGTGATGCTGACTGAACTTTTGGTTAACGTAATTTCTGAGCAGTAAGAGTTTACTGAAGCTGTAGGTGTGCTTCGTGGGCAGCTTGTGTGAAGTGAGAAGGGGGTGGTTTTTAATATTTCTCTCCCTGACTTTTTAAACAATAAAGTGTTCCTGTGATTCATGCCACTCATGTTGGCTCATTAGAAGTCACCTTTCCAAGCCTTCGTATATTCATGTCTCTCATTCATCTCCACACCCCCAGCCCTGAATCGCTCTCTCTGTTTTCTATTGTAGCTGAGCAATCCATTCCCGGTAATATCTGAAAGCTTTCCAATTTCTCTCTGTAGGTTGTTGTTTCGTAACGTTTTATACAAGAAAAGCTGCGCTTGAAGCACAGAATGCACTGCACAATATTAAAACCTTACCTGGGGTGAGTACATTTACTTCCTTTCACTTTTGGAGCTGGAAGCAGATTGGCGGGAGGGAAGTGAAATAAATAACTGTGCTTGGAGAAGCTGCTACTTGAAGGATCTGGGTAACCCCCAAATGCCTCGGACTTTCACAGGAGGGTAATAAGCTGATGGCTAAATGTCTGCAAACTGTGCCCATTGGTCAGCCCAATCATGAGCTTGTTAATATGGTCGAAAACCGTTCATAATGTTGCATAGTAGCTGCCCTCCAGATGCGAACCAGCAGGGAATTTATTTATTTTTATCTAAACAACCCATTTGACTAGGTTGCCCCAGCCAATCTGGGCAGCTTCCAATATATATTAAAACACAACAAAACATCAAACATTAAAAACAGGGCTGCCTTCAGATGTCTTCTAAAAGTCAGATAGATGTTTATTTCCTTGACATCTGATGAGAGGGTGCCACCACTGAGAAGGCCTTCTGCCTGGTTCCCTGTAAATTCGCTTCTCGCATTGAGGTAACTGCCAGAAGTCCCTCAGAGCTGGACCTCAAGTGTCTGGGCTGAGGGGTAGAAACACATTTTACAAAGATGTGGTAGAAAAGATATAAATCAGTTAAAACTATGCATTCAATTAAATTCAGTTAAAATGCCTACTTGATTTATTAATAAGGTCTTCCCTAGGTGCTGGAAACGTTGATGAGAAGACTGTGGCACTCCAGAAGTTCTTGGACCATCAGCCCTGACCATCACTTATGCTGGTTGTTGGGAGTCCAAGGATATCGGGAGACCCACAGGTTCCCCACCCCGACACTGACAGTGGATTCTATGGGTTTATTATGCACACAATTCCATGTGCTTTAAATGCACATTGAACATGTTATTTACTTAGGGCAGGACATGATGCCCCGCAGCCAACAAGCTGGCACCGCTCAGTGGGTACAGCATGAGACTCTGAATCTCAGGGTTGTGGGTTTGAGCCCCACGTTGGGCAAAAGGTTCCTGCATTGCTGGGGGTTGGACTAGAGGACCCTCAGGTTCCCTTCCAACCCTACAATTCTATGCTTCGACAAAATAAATACTGCAGGCGGTAAACACCAGGGAACCATGGCTTAGTGGTAGAGCACAAGTTTTGCATGCCGAATGTCCTCGAAGTTCAATGCCTGGTGATGGGAAACACCTTGTGCCAGAGACCCTGGAGAGCTGCTGCCAGACAGAGTATGCAGAACTGGATGGTCTGGCATAAGGCAGCTTTCCATGTGTGTTATGCGGGGTTGTAGAGACTTGAGGTGCTATCAGACAGGGACTTAATTTGCAAATGTATCATTGAGATATCACATGTGAGTTGCTGGCATTTTTTGTTTTTACTTATTGGATTCCCCCCAGAAAGTATAGATCCAGATTAAATTGGGAGCAAGGCATACAGGCTGGCATTTTGATTCCAATTACTTGCATGCATAAGCAGCACCAATCCCACAAAGAACAACAAAAACACATCTGTCTGGAAGCACCCTCCGACAGTGAAATCGATGATAGGATCATAAATAGCGCTGTTAAATACATGTCCCTTTCCCTTTTATCTCTGGAATTCTGGAGCAGAGAGAAAGAGTCGGCTTCTTAGGACTGAGCACCAAAGGCACTGCCTGCTGTCAAATGTGGCTCACACACCCCAAATTGGACTTGTTCAGTTTGCTCTACCAGAGTGTGCAGAATGAATCCTATCGATTTCCCTCCCCTGCCTGCCCTCCCCCCAGACCCGCAATTTAGATCAGTCCCTCTGTGCCCGTTTCCATTGTAAAACAAGGGTGCTGTCAGTACTCGCCAGCATCCCCATTCTGTGTACAAATTGAAGTGGTTCCTTTCTCTCTCCCAGCGTCACCAGAAAGCCAGATCAATCTTATGTGGCTCACATTTCTCGACAGCTGCAGATGAGCCATGAGTGGTTTTGACATCTGGTCCCCACAGCAATTTGAAGGTTTTGAGTTTAGGTTTTGTTTGTTTTGCTGTGTGTGTGAGACTCCTTAGTGCATACCCTCCAACATTTCTTCGATGAAAATAGGGATGTCCTATCCAACAACAACAACAATTGTATTATTTATATCCCGCCCATCTGACTAGGTCGCTCCAGCCACTCTGGGCGACTTCCAACATATATAAAAAAGGTAATAAAACAAACATTAAACAAACTTCCCTATACAGGGCTGCCTTCAGACGTCTTCTAAAGGTTGTATAGTTACTGAACTCTTTGGCTTTGGGGGGGGTCACATAACTCCATACCCTCCGATGAAAATAGGGGCATCCTGGACTTGCCGATCAGAAGGTTGGCGGTTCGAATCCCCACGACGGGGTGAGCTCCTGTTGCTCGGTCCCTGCTCCTGCCAACCTAGCAGTTCAAAAGCACATCAGAATGCAAGTAGATAAATAGGTACCACTCTGGCAGGAAGGTAAACGGTGTTTCTATGCACTGCTCTGGTTCGCCAGAAGCGGCTTAGTCATGCTGGCCACATGACCCGGAAGCTGTCTGTGGACAGTAAAGCGAGATGAGCGCCGCAACCCCAGAGTCATTTGCGGCTGTACTTAATGGTCAGGGGTCCCTTTACCTTTACCATACCTTCCAACATTTAAAAAAATGAAAATAGGGATGTTCTAAGGGAAAGTGGGACGTTCTGGGATCAAATCAGAAACCAGGACGGTTTCTGTAAATCTGGGACTGTCCCTGGAAAATAGGGGCAGTTAGAGGGTCTGTTAGTGGAATATGCTGAACTTGTGTGTTCGTGGAAAAAAACCTCCCAGTTCAGGGCTAACTGAGAGTTAAAATCCAGTAAGGCCTTGCTGGCCCAATTAGTTTTGTCGTATTATTCTCTCTGCCGCATTCTCCGTTTCAAAGGACGTGGGCATCTGTAGCTTTGATTTTGTGTGTGCCTCTAGCAGAAAAACCGCCCGCCCCGCTCCTCAACACAAACGCATTGGCACCTTGTTTTTTCCTTTTGAGCTTCAGTGCTTTTTTTTTTTTTTTGGTGGACATGAATACAACATTGCTAGGCATGCATGATTAATGCCACCTCTTGGAAGAAAATATTGCCTGGGTGCCTGGCTGTTTGATTACAAGCCTTGGAATTAGTCAACATTTCCATAATTCTAAACCAATATACACCTGTTTCCCCACTGTGATGTGAAGGCACAACTTAATTTAACAGAAACCCTGCTGTGCTAAATCTCTCATTAAACACCGAGCCAGTTCTGTAATTTAAAGTTGCAGCACCACTATTTTAAGGAAATTGTCTTTTCGGGTGTGCATGTGCGCCTTGTGAAATTAATAAGAAGTTAATGGTGCGTTTTGCTGTACTTCCCTTTCAAAACTTCTAGAAAGGGCCTACAAAGGCTCTGTATCACATGCGGCTAAGGCAACAGATTGGATGCAGATGGCCCTCCAGACAGGGATGCAAGCAGTTTCTGTGGGTGGCTAAACAAAAACAGCCCACCTTGGATCAACCATATCAGTCTTGAAAGAACTACACTGGCTCCCGGTTCGTTTCCGAGCATAATTCAAAGTGTTGGTGTTGACCTTTAAAGCCCTCAATGGCCTCGGACCAGTATACCTGAAGGAGCGTCTTCACCCCCATCGTTCTGCCCGGATGCTGAGGTCCAGCGCTGAGGGCCTTCTGGCGGTTCCCTCGCTGTGAGAAGCCAAGTTACAGGGAACCAGGCAGAGGGCCTTCTCGGTAGTGGCACCCGCCCTGTGGAACGCCCTCCCACCAGATGTCAAAGAGAAAAATAACTACCAAACTTTTAGAAGACATCTGAAGGCAGCACTGTTTAGGGAAGCTTTTAATGTTTAATAGGTTATTGTATTTTAGTGTTTTATTGGAAGCCGCCCAGAGTGGCTGGGGAAACCCAGCCAGATGGGCGGGGTATAAATAATAAATGGTGATTATTATTATATCAGTATGCAGTTGGAATGATTGGTCCTAGATCAGGGGTCAGCAACCTAAGGCCCATGGGCCACAAGCGGCCCACGAGGGTCGTTTAACCGGCCCCCGAGCCGCCCCCAAGCAGAGTCACCTGCTTGGCAAGTCCCCGCGCACTGCGCTAAAGCGGTGCAGCACAGTGCGGGGACTTGCTTCTGTGGCTCCGGAAATCACATCTGCACAGACACCGGAAATTGCATCTGCACAGATGCAGGAAATCGGGGGGGGGGCGATCTGACCCACAGAGGGATCTCCCCTGGAGTGAACTGGCCTGGGTGAGGTAAACCTTGCTGACCCCTGTCCTAGATCAGGGGTCAGGATGATAGATGTTGCTAACAGACAGCTGGGACGCCGTACCGGTGTGCCCCCTTGTTCTGAAGGGGTGAGTGCTCTGGACCCAAGCCTCGCTCTCCCATCCTGACACCTGATGGGCAATGGACGATGAACAAGTCAGTGGCCACATGGGAACCTGTGAATCGGGTCTTCTAAAGAGTATGAAATTAGGAGGCAGGAGGCAAAGCAGACTGGGACCATCTCTGCTGACTTCTGGTTAATTTAGAAGTATTGGTTTGCCCCTCCCACCGCACATCTCACACTGTTTTTACTCTCTTTTATAGCCTAGGCAGCACTCAGATGAAATCAAATTATTATTATTATTATTATTATTATTATTATTATTATTTTATTTTTGTTAAAATCTGGTATTTTATTTTACTGGACCAAATTGCTCCAATGGAACATTGAACCTTCAAGCACTGCAGAAGGGGTGAAAGTGAATATTATTGCTGGTATTATTATCATTATGCTTATTATCATTTATGAATCACTTCCCATGACGCATCATCTAAGAAGTTGTGAAACTGAGAAGGTACAATTGGATTAGTGCTTGAAGAGGGGGCCAGTGGGTCTGAGCTTTTTAAAGGAAGTGCAGAAAATAAGATTATTATTATTCAGCACTTATTTATACCGAGATGGTTGGATAGTGTTCTCGAAGCTACCAGCATGAGTTTGACTGAACTGCGGGAGGCAGTGGAAGACAGGAGTGCCTGGCATGCTCTGGTCCATGGGGTCACAAAGAGTCGGACACGACTAAACGACTAAACAGCAACAACAACTTATTCATATAATAAGCAATAAATATATTATTTTACTGATTGATTTGTAATAAGAACAAATCATCCTTACCCATCGAGGTTAAGAAATAGTCATGGTGAATTTGATTCTTTGCATATATATTTTCATTAAATAAATTGATGTACGCTCCTTGGAGATTTTGAATATTTAGTGGCATTTCAATACCTGGAATAAATATAAATAAATCAACAAAAGAAAGCTCAGGCTCAATGGGCACTTTTCCAGGCACTGATCCAATCCCTTGTCCTTCACCAGCCCTTTTGAGATTCAACGTTCTCAGCCAATTCTCTGGGCTCCCAAAAAACTGCAATGCTTGGAAGTTCAAAGTTCCATTTACGTAAATTGGTCCAGTAAAATAAGATATATTGGGTATTGCCTTGGATACAATATGCAAGATAATATCTTGGATAATACGGCACCTTTTTTATTTCCTATCAGATTGACTGGCTTTCAAAAGCTCCATTGGGATTCATTGGGGCGGTTAATGTTAAGTAAATGTAACATGATAATGGCTGTTAGTGCCCTAGCTTTATGGGCTTATAGTGCCAATAACCATGTTTAATCCTCGGTTAAATTCCACATTGCTTTAGCGCCGGGTCGTCCTCTGGCAGACTAACTCCAGTGATTCCTTGCTCTGATTTGGGGTCCTCTGTACACTCTCAGCTTAGGATGCCTGATGGTTCTTCTACAGCCATTTTCATTAGAGGATTCCTTGTGTGTGTCCGCTTAATTAAGGGTGTAATAACTGAGAAATATAGTGTTCAGAACGCTCTTAAAACTTTAACGGCAAAAAAGGAGCAGGCAGAAACTTAATGTCTTGTAAAATATTAATAGTTGCTTTCTGCCAGATGTCATCTATGAGCATGGTGGTTGTATTTTAATCTCCTTCCTG